TAGATGCTACAGTCAAAGTCTAACCAACCATGGTTGATGGTTAACACTCAACACTAAACACTAAACACTAAACACTAAACACAAAGTTTCTATTTTTCATATTTTCATATAAATAAAAAATAAGTTATCTATTTTTCTCCTAGGTATTGGCTGGCAACGAGGCAGGTCAGTGAGGTCACATGTAAATGCACCTTATCTCATGTGGGTTGCTGCAGATTCTTACACTACTTTTGTCTCCTTGTTGCCCTCCCAAACACCATCTTCACGCGCCTTATCACTCTCCAAATTCTTTCCTTCTAAAAGTACAGGGGGACTGTGCATTCCACGCGCGACTGCATGAATGGTTATTTGTGTTACGTTTATAAATTCGGAAATTAAAAATTCAATAATAAATGGGATACGCTTATATCATAGGAGGATTTTAATTAGAGTGACTAGAGCTAGAATAATATCTATACCGCCTCTGAATTTACCACACTGCCCTCTTTCTATATTCTTGTTCCTGTTCTCCGGCATGTCTGTTGCACAAGGTGCATATTACTTGAAGTTACCTTATAGCCCTTCCGCAGCTATGTCGCCATATAATGCTGGAAAAACTTTTGAAATCAATATATCGACACCCATTTGTAGTAATATGATGAATTATCATCATAGTTAAGTTTACTAAAAGAATATCTTTCATAGTATTTTATAAATGTTAAGTTTATTAATTAAACAAATAAATTACATAATATTATTCTGATGATATTATATCTGAATTTATATAATTCACTAAATGTTTTATTATAAATTCAAGTAAAAAAATGAAATATTAATGAATTATTTAATTATGTGAAAATTTATATTATAAAAAAAATTAATACAATATTTGAATTATAAAAATTTTATATTTATAAAAAGTTATTAAAATTATCATCTGTTAAATTTAATACTCCATATCAAATGGTTATTTCTCATTATATATCTCTATAATTGTGTACTCATTATATTAGAAAAAAAAAAGTTATAAATTTTATTTTCTTGTTTAAGTAGAGTTCATTAAGCAAGAAAAGTCACGGAAGATTTTTACTAAAGAAGAGAAGGAAAAAATTGAATGTAACAATTTTTCTTACTACCATAAAAGAAATAAATTATTTTCATCTCCTTAAAATTTTTCTATATGACGGTTCATTTCAAACTTTATGTCAAAACCATGCATATATCAAAAGTTCAATTAATCCCAATCGATCTTTTCATTATCAACTTGGTATATTATAACAGAATATATTATTCAACATTCTTTAATATTAATTAACCAAACAATATGGTAAGAAAATTCATATCGTAAGTATATATTGCATAAGAAGTGCTACATCTATACTCTTTAACATAATTTTTTAAATATATTTTTAATTATTGACTAAAATTTATTAAAAACTATAAAATATACAAAAATAATTAAATTAAGAGTAAAAAATTTGTAAAACTTATGTAACTTTTATAGTTTTTAATAAATTTAACCAATAAATAATAATGTATTAGAACAAATATATTAAATAATGTGGTGTTAACATTTCTCTTTATTATATTTAAGATGATATATCATATATTTTATTGATAAATAATTTTGTTCAACAAATTTTTAGATATTTAATATTCACTATAAAATTATCAAATAATAAAACATTTTTTTTTCACATCTACAATGTTTTAAGCGCAAGCATAGATATATACTTAATTTTCTTAATTTGTACAAAAATTATTTCAAAATTATAATCATGATGCATAGTTTAATTTTTTTAATACTGAAAGGATCAAGTTTGAGGCCTGGTAATAAATTCTTGAGAAGTCAACGACCCTAGTTCATTTGATCAATTTTATATATTACCTACCGTTAATGATTTGAGACGATATCATGACATCTTAACAATATAATAGAACCATATGACTTAAAGAAAAAATTAATTATAATTACCATTGTGATTTTATTTTATAACCAAACAATTTTCATCCAAAGTGAGATTAATTTTTTTCATATGTCAGTCTCTTGTTTGAAAAAGCGTTAAAGTTTCAAAATAATTAAAATTAAATGCGTAATATACATGTTCTTAAGAATGATAAATGCATTTAAACTCGTCCAAGAGTCAAGTATATATAGCATTTCAGGGATCCTTGAAACCTCACTCAAAGCTCATGTCACTTTGTACATTCGAAGAACAAATTGGCCGTGGCTTTGTTCTGAAGGGTAAATTAATTAATTTGCATTCACTAGCATAGGGATTAAATATATTTATTTTAATCAAATTTCTGGTTTTGATGAATGTGGCACATCTTGATTTGTCTATGTGCTTTTCTCAAATGGCCAATTAATGGCTTTTGAACCGTTTGTAGGGTATGATGATGAGAGCTTGATTACCCTTTGGGTCATCAGGATCTGGCTTTAGTCGAGTGTTCCCCTTGGGACTCCAATTTAATAAGTTATGGTTCAATTATTTTAGGGAGAGAGAGTTTTCCAAATAAAGTATCAAATCCATAATTTTTCTACTGGGCAAAGAAAGAAGAATATTCATAAACTCATATTACTTTGAGTTAGTTCTAATTTCTAAACCCCAGCCAGCTGGCTTCAGATATCCTCACCTTCCGATTTGATATAATCCATGTATTATTGCCATAAAATATAGTTAATTATAGGACAAGATTCATGTTTATAGTCAAAATTCGCATCTAATCGTAATCATTTTTGTGTTCGAATGACGACAGACTTGCAAGAACATATATAGCCCTTATCACGAGAAAGAAATGAAAGAAAAATGATATGCACTATATTTTTCTGCCATCATATGATTGAACATAGGACCTAAAAAATCATTTTGGTTTTGGCCAATTTTCATGTGACAGCAGAAACATTTGCTTCGCCTAGTGAAAGATCACTCCATAATGAACATGATGGGGAACAGACATTGGCAGCTGTATTTGCAAGTTTTGTTAGGTACCACCATATATTAAAAATAAATAAATAAATTTGAGAGAAGTGATAGACCTCACTGTTACTGTTTAATGAAGAAAAGCTACGCTGCATCTGTCACCTTATGTAGCTGATGGTGATGGTTGTTCTAATGGTTTTTAGTTCATTTCTCGGTATGTATATAACGACAGACTACTTTTATTCCATGCATCAAATTTGTTGCATATTTTCTTTCTTTTTCTTGATATAAACATAATTTTTTTATTATCTTTTGAATCATTGTTATTGTTTACTAGTATTATCACAAGTGAGTGATGGTGCGAGATGTACATTTTTCAATGCATGATATTTTTGAGTCTTACCAACAAATAATTCATATAATTAAAATTTAAATTTGTCTGCATATTTATCTACACATTATTTGTTTGTCTGCTGCTGTCCAACCCCTTGAGACTAGTAGGAGTATTTAAATACTCTCTTCTTTTCTTGAGAGTCTTTTGCACCAAGAAAATGTTTTGTTTATAAATAAAACTTGCAATTATTAAAAATTAATATCAGAAATGTCTATGAATGTTACATGCATTAATAAATCCTAAGAATAAATATATTTTTTAGGTCTAACGTCCTTTAATCACATCTATCTTTATCGTTATAATTTTGCTTGTTATGCTATTAATTTTAATTTTGCAACTATGAAAAAGAAGGGCTAGTAATCACTCGAAAAAGGCAACGTTTGAACTATAACAAGAAGTAAAATTTAATAACAATTTTCTAGATGTGGATTAATCCAGCAACTTAAAACAGCAGAATTAATGTTGAGAATATGGATAACCTCCACATTCCAACGATTTTTCCCAAAGTACCTTAGAAACGAGTACTGATAGGTATCATATAACCATATATAAACTAAATCACACAAAACTTGCAATTAACATTGGTAAAACGTTCACAAGTTAGTCAAACCCCTTGTAATATGAATTTCTACGTTTAACAAGTTATAGTGCAGTGACATTCCTTAGTGTTCCAATCTTTTATACATATTTCGTGATACACAATATTGAAACACAGCTCATAACTTGATAAAATAAAATCATCCTGTTCATAAAAATTCTATAACCAATTCGTTCATCATTAATTTTTTTATTATCGTTTAACTTGTATAAAATGTGTGCACAAACTTTTATATATAATGATTGATTTTTTCTAAAAATTGATTCGCTTACCAAATGAAAAATAAACAAACTGTTAATAATCTTAGTGTATTTGAAAAAATGTTAGAATCAGTAGAAAATTATGTAAACGTGTCTTGTTTATTATATCAACATATTTGATAAAATGACAAAGTATAGTAAATTTTACGTTATATTTTAATAAAGATTAATATCAAACAAACGTAATTTTTAATTTTAATAATAATATAAAAATATTTAAAATATTGCTCATAGATTTTATCACTGTTAAAAGTGCAGAATCAATTTAGCTTTCAAAATCATGTGCATTGATGATATCAAAAGTAAAATAATTATTAGTAATTAAAAATAAATTTCAAATATTAAAATTTCACAAAAATATGCAGATAAAATAACATAATTATTTTTAACTTTTTATTTTAACTGCAAAGTTACCCTTAATCTTCCCAACAAAATTCAATAGGTAATTTTTTGCAGAGAAAAAAGAAAGAAGAGAAGAAAGAGTTTATATGTGTGTGATTTCAGTGGTCAAGTCATGTCAGTGATTGGTCGACGCAGACACACGCTTTACAGCACAAGTAGTTAAAATGTCCAAACATTCCTCTTCCGTCCCTGAAATTCAAATATTAATATTAATTCCATGTAGAAGGACCATTCCGTCATTTAACACAAAGGGTATATCCGTCCCAACAAAAATGAAAAAAACTGAAAAACAAATTTTAAATTACGAAGATCTCCATCTCTACCGGGGAAAAGTTCCATCAAACGGCCGAAAACGCTTCACATGACAAAGCGAGGGAACAAACCTGAACCATCGATTTTCCATCTCTCACTATAAAAATCCCGCTAACTCCCTCTCCTCTTCCAAACTATCTCTCTCTGTCTCTGCACACTCACTCTTCCCTCTTCCTCAACCATTACCGCCACAACGACATAGGTATGCTACCTCTTCTTCTTCTGTCTCTCTAGATCTGTAATTATAAAGTTAAATTATGGTTAATTAGCGTTAATCACGGTGTTTAATTTTGCAGGGAAAGAAAATGAGAGAGATCCTTCACGTTCAGGGAGGGCAATGCGGGAACCAGATCGGTTCCAAGTTCTGGGAAGTGGTGTGCGACGAGCATGGCATAGATCCAACGGGAAGGTACATTGGCAACTCAGATCTGCAACTAGAGCGCGTGAATGTCTACTACAACGAGGCCTCGTGCGGAAGGTTCGTTCCACGCGCCGTTCTCATGGACTTGGAACCGGGCACCATGGACAGTGTCCGAACCGGGCCGTACGGTCAGATCTTCCGCCCCGATAACTTCGTTTTCGGGCAGTCCGGTGCGGGGAACAATTGGGCGAAGGGACACTACACGGAGGGTGCGGAACTGATCGATTCGGTTCTGGATGTGGTTCGTAAGGAGGCGGAGAACTGTGATTGTCTTCAAGGGTTTCAGGTTTGTCATTCGTTGGGTGGAGGAACGGGGTCAGGAATGGGAACGCTGTTGATTTCGAAGATCAGAGAGGAGTACCCTGATAGGATGATGCTCACTTTCTCCGTCTTTCCTTCGCCCAAGGTTTCTGACACTGTTGTTGAGCCCTATAATGCTACTCTCTCTGTTCATCAGTTGGTGGAGAATGCAGACGAGTGCATGGTGCTTGATAATGAGGCGCTCTATGATATCTGCTTCAGGACACTTAAATTGACCACTCCTAGCTGTGAGTGTTCTTTTTTCAATGCGTTTATTAGCTTAATTTAAAATCTTTTGTAGTTGTATATATATGATGTGTGCTTTGCTGACTTCTTAATGTTGGATCTTGATTTTGCAATTCTTAATTGATTTTAAGTGAGATGATCTTTTATCGGATTATATTAAAATTTCTGAGAATTGAAACTCCAAAGAATATTTTTAAGAACTATAATCTAATTTAGTTCTATTTATTTGAATTAAAAATACCTTTATGTCAAAATGGAATTTTTAACCAAATGCAATATATACCATCTTTTTATTTTGTCATTTCTGGTCTAAGGTAGGAACTTGAGTTTAGTTCGCTGAAATCAAATATGGGAAAAATCTATTATATGTTAATCTTTTAATTGACGATCTGATTATTTTGATTCATGACTCCAAATTTAGAATTTTTTTTTTTAAATTGCAGCTGATCATGGTTAATTGCTATATTATATGTTATGCTATTTTAGGTGTGGAACTGCTTTGGTCTTGTTTTTGGTTTGTGATTACTGAAAATGGGTGTTTGTTGTTACAGTCGGTGACTTGAACCACTTGATCTCTGCGACCATGAGTGGGGTTACTTGCTGCCTTCGTTTCCCTGGTCAACTCAATTCTGACCTGAGGAAATTAGCTGTGAATCTCATTCCTTTCCCTCGTCTTCACTTTTTCATGGTTGGTTTTGCGCCTCTCACCTCTCGTGGCTCTCAGCAGTACCGTGCATTGACGGTGCCAGAACTGACCCAGCAAATGTGGGATGCCAAGAACATGATGTGTGCTGCTGATCCCAGACACGGCAGATACCTCACAGCATCCGCCATGTTCAGGGGGAAGATGAGCACCAAGGAAGTGGATGAGCAGATGATAAATGTGCAGAACAAGAACTCTTCCTACTTCGTTGAGTGGATCCCCAACAACGTTAAGTCGAGTGTTTGTGACATTGCTCCCAGGGGGCTCTCCATGGCTTCCACCTTCATTGGGAACTCCACCTCCATTCAGGAAATGTTTAGGAGGGTGAGTGAGCAATTCACTGCCATGTTTAGGAGGAAGGCTTTCTTGCACTGGTACACTGGGGAAGGTATGGATGAGATGGAATTCACAGAAGCAGAGAGCAATATGAATGACCTTGTTTCCGAATACCAGCAGTACCAGGATGCCACTGCTGAGGAGGACGGAGATTATGAAGAAGAGGAAGACGAAGGTGAAGCGGAGCATATGTGAATACAAAGAGTGTTGTTATGCTGATATGCCTGTCTCCTACTTATTGCATTATGCTATATGATGCGTAAGTGTGTTTGCTCCACTCTCCAACGTGAAGATTGTAATTAGTGTATGGTTTGCCGGATACTGTGATGAGCCTGATTTGGGGAATGGAAATGCCTATTTACTTTCTCCATGATGCTGCGAGCAATAGAGGTTAATGGTAGTGGGAGGGGAGTTTGAGTACATGTTTTAAACTAGTCATGCAGCATCTGTCTGTTTGTTCTATATTGGCTTGATTTGCTTTTTTCTGGATCTGGTACACTGGATCATGTTTCGTAATATTTGTTACTTTTATGCATGGCTGGTTAATTTACATTGGATTCTTGAATTGTCTTTGGTTGTTTAGAAAATGCCTTGTCGTCTTTCTGGCTGAACAAGCTTGCAACGCGCTATTACTCATGATATAATGCGTGGTATCTAACTGTATGTTGCGGTCACGGTGCGATTCAGGACAGGGATCTAATCTAATTATGCTTTTGGAATGGTAATACCGCTCTTGGGGGGGGGGGGGGGGGGGGTTGGACAATGCAATGCACAAAGCTGACCCCAAATACGGATTAAACCCACAAAATAGCCTATAAGATTATAGGACTCGTGCAATTTAGTCTATAAAATCTTATTAATTGGTCTTCTACTTTTTTTTTCTAACTAGAGTTATAAGAGTCGGTCCTAACTTGTCAGTTAGCCTGGCCTGTAGTAATTTTGGGTGAGTTTAGGTTATACAAAGGTCGACTCTATAAGCACTTAGAATTTTTGTTTTCTAACCCGCCATTTATATATGTCAATCCATGGTTATCAAATCAATCTCCTAGTTTCAATTTAAATTACCATCCTATTATTAATAGTATTTATTTTATTTTTTCTCATTTACTCAATAACCTTTAAATACTAAAACATTTATGTAAATCCAACTAGTATTTTATTAAATCCTTGTTTCAATGTTTGTGTTCCTATTTTATACTTCTTATTTTTTTAATTTTATATTTTTATTTTTTTAAAAAAAATTTACAACTAACTAACTCCAAAAGTGAGCTAGGTTGAGTTAGCTAACTATTGAACTCAACTCATTGTGAGTTAGTCCGGATAACTTGGGATGCCATTTTGACCCCTCTACTTGCTGTATAATTTGTGATTTAACATGTTATTAATTGACATTTGTGAAAAGTTAAATTATCATTTTAAGTCAAAAGTAAACTTTAAAGATGGGTTAATTATATTATTATTTTAGTTTCAAAGACAATTCTTGAAGTATCTCCTTTTTCCTTTCATGCAACTTAATAGTCATTAACACATTATTACTAGTTTTTGTTTAATTGTTCTTTGAAACACAAAAATTAATAATTAGTTTCTTTACTTTTATATTAAAGAAGGTTCGACTTTCTATAAAAAAATCACAACTTTTGTATAGCCTTAGTTGTAAAAAAAAAAAGTTATTCTATTATGATATTTCTTACTTCATCACTCTTCTTGAGATAAGAACTTAAATTCGCTTATTCTATTGATAAAATAGAATAACTATTATATAAGCTATTATATTAAATTGTTCAACAAATATAAAAAATAAAATAAAATAAATTTTTTATTTTAGATTGTGTTTACATATGTTGCAAAATGTGTTTGAGAAAAATATCTTTTAAGAATAAAAATATTTTGTAAAAAATCAAAAGACTCGTTACTAAAGTTTATTAAAGAAAATATTAACCAAAATGAGTTCGTGTAGAAAAAGTATTAACACCCTACAACATTTATTTAAATAATTGTTACTTTTAATTAATTGTGCAAATTTATTTAACCCCTAAACAATAATAATAATTGTTTTTATTTTAAAAGAAGATAAATTATTTATTAAAATATTAATTGATATCTTAAAAAAAGAGAAATTATTTTTAAAATTATTTTGACTTGATAGGTTCAATTCTCGATCCTATGTATCTCCAAGTGCAATAGAAAACTCAAAGTCACATAGTTCTATCAATTTATGAATTTAGTTGATTAAAATCAAGTTTAATAAAAGAAATTTTATTTTAAGATTAAAATTATTTTATAAAATTATAATGTTTAAGATATAAAATAACGCGGTTATATATGTATCCTACAATAAATAATATAGAAGGCGAAGAGAGATCACACAACTACATTACAAATCGTTAAAAATGATTTAATAAAAAAATATTTTTATTTGAAAAAGAAAAAAATTTGAATTTATATTTAAATTGATTAAAAAGATTAAAACTTTGTTTGATAAATTTATATTGCATAGGACCTGTATATGATGAATATATTTTAGATGATAGATTTTAATGAAATAAAATAAATAATCGATTAATTTTAGAAATCAGATAGAATTTTTTAATATATTGATATTGTATAAAACTTATGATAACGTTGATATATATATAGATTTTGACAATTTATAACGCATAAAGGTAGAGTCGCTACACATTAGCATTATAAATTGTTACATTAATAAAAATAACATATTTAAACTAGTTGATTGATTAATAAGTTAGTAATTAAAGGAAAACACATCTTGATTAATTATTTAATTAATTAAAGATAACATATGATAAATTAATATTGTGTAAAGTCAAGATAATATAAATACGTTTAGGCTTTATCAATTTATAATATATAATGATAGAGAAGTTATACTTTAATATTATAAATTGATACAACTATATTATTATTCATTCATTAATTATATAAAAAAAATTCATAATATAAGAAAAGATAAATATAAAATTAAATCACTATCTATATTATACAAATATATAAAAAATAAAGAGATAACAATTTTAAATAGTAAATAACAAAAATAATAATTAAGACATAAACAATAGAATAATATAAAAAAAATAGAGAGGATTTATTGCCAATGTTAGAGTGAGATAAATTTTATAAATAACAACACAATTCACATATAATAAAAAATAAATAAAAATAATATGTTTAAATCATTTCTTATTATTATTACTACTACTTAAAAAATAAATAAATGAAATTAGAAGGATTGAATTTAAAAATAAAAGATATTTTATTTAAGATAAATTAAAATAAATAAAATAAGATATAGGATAAAAATAATAAAAAATAAACAGTGAATAAATAAAATTATAAAGCTAAAAATAATTAACAATGTGAAATAATTTAGGTGTAGGGGTCAGTAAAGCTAAGACTTGAGCCACACGTTTCTTAATCGTCAAATCAAATCATATTTAATAAAATAATATTTAATAATTATTATTATATTAAAAAGAGAGAAAAAAAAGTAAAATGTAATTTCGATACATACTAATTTGCTCTAGCTTCACGAATCCATCAAATCAAATTGAATAAGTTAATAAAATAATATTAAATAATGATAATCCTATATAAAACAAAAAAAAAAAGATGGTTCAAAATCTTCATTATGCCTTAGCTTACATTCATCGAGTGTAAGTTTAAGAAAACAATAGAGGAAAAAGAACATAACTTACCAATACAGTAGTTTAAGTAATGGTTGATAGTATAGTATCTTTTTTTCTGTTTTACTTCTTTTTTTTTTCTTTTTCTTCTTTCTTTTGTATTTGTTTTTCTTTGATACTATGTTCTCTTCTATTTTTTTGAGTTTTTCTTGTGTTCTTCTTTCGCTTTATTGTCCATATCTTCGAAGCTTCTCCTAAAAATTTTGCTCTTATTTTTCATTGTTCTCCTCTAAAATTTTTCTCTGAAAATAAAGCTTGTTCTTGGACCTTTATCATTTTTTTTAAATTCTGCTACTCTCAAAATTCTCCCTTCCAAATCTCTCATTTGTGTATTTATACTAATTCTTTTTTTTTTTTTTTTGCTATTAGGATTTAATAGAATGCCAAATCTAAATTTTTCCCTTCTTATGTATAAAACTGCTTCTTGGAATTGGGTATAAACCTACATAGTGCAAGATTTCTATTTTCAAGAGCCAAGCTTGTTTCCCAAAATTTTTCATTTTTTTGTTTAACAACCTTATTATTTTATTTTATTTGGAGGCAATCTCTTCTTAGACAAAAAAATTGGTCTTGACAACATAAAAAAAAAATTGTTGAGAGGTAAAACTCACTTTGATGATCTTTATGTCTTCAACTATCAATCACTAGATATCCTTCATTCACACTAAAATAAATTCATTTATTTTCAAAAGTTTCATTGACCAAAACTAATTATTATTTTTATTTGAAGGAGTGTAAATTGTTTTACTAGACTATGTAATGTTTAGAAAATAAAAGAAAGACAAAATGTTTTCTCTTATTTAAGCAAAATGAAAACGACTAATTTTGTAAATCTAGGTCTACATCTGACTTACCAAAAAATAACTCAGCTTCTTAGGTATAACAAAATACTCTTAGGTATGGATAATAGAACAAGAATAATAAATAAAAATCAACATAAACAAATAATTTAATTGATAAAGAAATATTTATACTAAAAGGAAATCTTTGACTGTGTCAACAACCCTCCCTTACAATGGATGCTCTTTGTCACTTAAGCATGCCTAGAGTATTTCTTCCATGCAATAATTTAGCTTAAGTGACTTTATCATTATATCTGCTAACTTATTTCTTGTATTGCAGTAATTTAGGCTCAATGACAGTATCATTGCATAAATTTCTCTGGAAATGAAACATGACATCAATATGTTAACTTCTTCCATGCAAAATTGGCTCTTGGATAATTTTATTGTAGAAACATTATCACAAAACATCACTGTAGCTCCTTTCTAAGGTGATCAAGATGCTTTAAAATTCTTCTTACCAAAATACAATGACATACACATAAGGCAACTACTATAAATCTACTTTAGTTATGGATAGAATAACCATATGTGTTTTTCCTATCTTCAATATCTCATGCATAATAACTGTCACTGTACACAAATAATTTTTCATTTCTTCCAACCTTATAGAAAGGTTTTAGATTTTGAGTGCCTTGTAAAAATCTCAAAATCTACTTTGTTTGCAAAAGTGACTTTCCTTTAGACGTTCTATAAAGCAACTGATTATATTAACAAAATGTGCAATATTAAGTCTTTTAGCTATAAGATACATAAGACTTCTTACAAGCTACTTAAATAAGTATTATTAACCACTATTCCTTTATCTTCTTTCAGAACAATAGAATTCTTCACAAAATTGCAATAAGACACAGAACCCTAAATATGTGAAATTTGTTTAGCACATCCTTAATATATATTTTTTGGCCCAATGTAAATGCAATAGAAGCTTACAACACTTTAATACTAAAAATATCTCATCTTGCCTAAGTTAGTCATTGCAAATTCATTTATTATTATGGTATAAAGATCTTGAAACTTTAACTCATCATTTCTCGTAGATGTAAGATCATCTACACAAACA